ATGGGTCATGTGTGTAGGAACCCTGGACAAGCACTGGGTCTGGGGGTGGCCCTGGAGTGTTCAGGGCAGGGGTTTCAGAGACCGAGGACCCATGCTCACACCTCAATTCTAAACCCCAGCCTCAGTGTCTGCATCTGTGGAATGAAGATAATGAACCGTGGGGGGTTGCGACAGAGCAGGCGATCTGCTCCCAGCACCGGCCTTGGGTGGGCCTCAGGTGGGCAGTCTCTGGAACCCCCGGAAACCCTCAGCTGCTCCCTGGGCCTATGCTCAGACCCCCACTGTCTGCTTGGGGGATCCTGTATGGGGTGTCTGCTCCCAGGATGGGTGGTGGCGGGAAGCGGAAGGGCCGGGGCCTCCACAGTGGGGGTGCCCACTGTGTGTGGTGAGTGTGTGGCACTGTCTGCTTGGGGGATCCTGTATGGGGTGTCTGCTCCCAGGATGGGTGGTGGTGGGAAGCGGAAGGGCCGGGGCCTCCACAGTGGGGGTGCCCACTGTGTGTGGTGAGTGTGTGGGTGTGGCGAGGGAAAGGCTGTGTAAGCCTGCAGGAGTGATGTGTGGTTTAGGGAACACATGTGTCATGCCTTGGGTGAGTGCGTGTGTGGTGCTCGTACACTGCTGAGGCTGTGCGGGGTATCGTGGGTGTGTGAGGTGAGGACAGGGCAGTGTTGTGTGTCTGTGGTCCCCTGGGTGGGTGGGCATGCACAGCTGAGGTGCAGCAAGCGGTGAGTGGGTGCTGGTAGGTGCGGGGCTGTGCTGCCTGGAGGCCGCAGCGGCGGATGGGTTGTGATGGGAAGTTGCTGTCCCGTGTGCACATCTGCTGGGGTGTGCGCTGTGTGCCTGAGGACACAGGGCTGTATCGTCTGCTGACTGCAGTGTGTGAGTGTGTTGGCTGCATGGATGTGCAGATGCCTCCTGTCAGGCACAGGAGGTGTGAGTGTACCTGGAGAGGGCACAGGGAGTGTCAGTTGGAGGCCAGCAGGGTGCTGGGGCTTTTGGATTCAGTTCTCCTTTAAGAGAATGGCATAGATAATTATGCTCATTATGCATGGAATTATGCAAATGCAGGGGTCGTTTGGGGGTCAAAGGCTGTTTGTCACCCTTCTCCAGGCACTTCGTGACTTCTGAGGCTTTCCCTGTTGCTTCTGGGCCCTGTTCCCTGCACCCCTCTTCTCTCTGTCCCTCTCTGTTCCTCTGGGAGCTGAACCTACCAGCACCCCCAAAGCATTCCTGCCAGGCCCCAGCTGTACCCAGCATTAAGGTCCTGCTGAGATTCCCAGGGTGAGCTCAGGCATGACTGGGACCCCTCACTGCACCACCCCGTCTGGGGGCTGCTTATTATTCGCAAAGAGTGTTCTCTTGGGCGCAGGCTTGGAAAATCACTGAGGTGGGCCCCTTCCCCAGCTTCGTCTCATCAGCGGGAGGCTAAATTAAGATGTGAGAGAATTCTCTCCCTCTGCCTCCCACTCTCGCCTTCTCTCCCTCTCTCACACCCACACCCAGCCCTCCCCACCTCCGCACCTTGGACCCCTGGCCTCCCCGGTCCTCTGCCTCTCTGTCCCTGTCTCCACCTTATCCCCTTCCTGTTATCCTCTTGGTGCCTCCATGATCTGTCTTCTGTGACCCCCTCCCCATCTCTGTGGGGAGCTGGAGATCCTGGTCCTTAGCATGGAGCAGATGGTTGTCATGGTAACAGTTGTCATGTCGATGGTGCTGCGCTAGGGGTGAATAGTATCTAGGTGAGAGCTACCTGAGTGGAGGCCGATGGGTTCACAGGAGGCTCGGTGCTTGTCTTTGAGCCTCAGAGCTGCACGGTCTGCCCCCTTCTGCCACTCCCCCCTGTACATATGCCTGTTTGCACCCAAAGGCACATCGACACACCATGCCTCTCTTTGGCTGCTTTTAGGTGAGTGCTTGTCAGGGTGTGTCTGTGTGCATTCTCTCTGTGTCTCTGGGTGGGCCGTTTCAAGGGTCTGTGTGGCATCGGGGGGAGTGGTCTTTGGATCTGTGCAGGCCTTTCTGGAGCAGGATATTGGGGGCTGGTACATCACACTGGTCACTGAGGAATCTTGAGGACTCCCTGTTTTGGCCACCATGTTTACCCCAGTTTGGAGGTCCCAAGGACCACAGACCTCTTAGAATCCCTCCTCCAAGCTAAAGACCTCCAAGCCACTCCCCGGCCTGCCTGGAAAGATAGAAACAGTGAAGATGGCCAGAAGCAGGAGCCTGAGCCCTGGTCACTGCTCAGTCCCCATTCTGCTGTGTGACTCCAGGCTGCTTCCAAAGAACTGGAGGGGACAGGAGCAGAAAGTCCCTAAAGGACTCCAGCTTGGCTAGCCCAGGTTGTGGAGCCTAGTGGTGTATGGAGCTTTCTAGCTCCCCCAACCTGGGTCCTGGGGATTTGTTCTTCTGGGCAGAGAGGGAGCTGGGGAAAGTTGGATATTAGCTGCTCTGAGCTCCTGGAATGTCTAAAAAGGAGGAAGACCCAGCAATTAGTCACAGGAGCAATTACACTAATTGTTCCACTCCATGACTCACTGGTAGAAAGTAAATACTGATTAATTCATTACTTTGAGACTGTGAGTGTGTGTGCGGTGTGTGTTCAGTGAGAAGGGGCCTCTCCTGGCTTCCTGCCCTGGCTGGGCTGGGTAGGGCTTTGGAGCAGGTGGTTGAGGCTAGGGGCAGTAAGCCAGGATTGAGATCCTCTCTCTGGCTCTGTACAAACTCCAGAAGGGGGCCCGTCAGTGGCAGGAGTGTGAGAGGCCGAGCACAAAATACAGTGCCAATCCAGCCCCTCTCCTGCTCACACACCTTCCATGGCTCCCACTGTCAGTCAAACATTGCAGACACTTGGGCATCACCTCAGATCTACTGAACCACTGAGTTCAGCTTTCACAGTATTCTGATGTGCAGTCAGGATGAAATGTGACCAATTTCCGAGAGAAAATCATCAGCCGGACACTAAAAGCCTTCTGTGATCAGACTTTGGCTGACTTCCCCAACCTCAACTCCAGCCTACCCTGCCCTGCCCCACCCCTGCCTTGTGAATTAGTCACATCTTCCAACTCCATTCCTTAACAAACATGTTCTGCATAACTGCTATGTGCCAGGCACTGTGCAAGACACAGGACACTGTCCTGCCTTCATTGTGTGTCTAGTTTAGTGGAGGTGGGTACAGCCATTGGACAAACGCACACTCCAGCTCACAAGTAGTGGCAGATGCTATAAAATAGGAGTGCAGGATGCTTTGAAAGTTCAAAGTAGGAACTTATCTTGAGAGAGGTGACCTGGGAGTGGGAGTTAGCCAGCAACAGGTTGGAGACTGAGGGGACGGGAAGGAAGAGTGTTCTAGGCAGAGGGAATAGCCTGAGTGAAAGAGGCAGGAGACCAGGCATGTTCCAGGGACAGAAAGAGGCCGGTGTGACTTGAGTCGAGTGTTAGGGGGTGTGCAGAGGGACACCGGGTGAGGTTGGAGGGGGACAGGGGCAGCTCCAAGGCCATAGGCTGCTTTTCCCCACCTCAGAGCCTTTGCCTATTCTGTTCCCTCTGCCTGAGATGCCTTTCACTCTTGATTTCAGTTGTTTAAGACCCAAATGCCATGTCCTTCATATCCTAGCTTCAGGAGTTAATCTCACCTTCCTCCTGAAAGCTCTTAGGGAACAGGGACTGTGGCTGGGCCAGTCTGCAACCAGGGTCGAAGGTGTGGCCGGGGTAGGGCCAAGGAGCAGGGCCAAGGCTTCCCTTCCTTGTGAGTCCGCACTCCTGCCTTTGAGGTCCTTAGCACTGACTCCAGCCCCAGGCTTGCAGCGGGGAGGAACAGAGTCAGCACAGGAGCCCTAGCTCCCGGCCTTTCTAGGTTCCAACTCTTGAAAGAGTCTTGGGCCTGGCAAGCTGGGCCCTTGGAGAAGCCCCTCTCACCCCTCCTGACCCCCTGAAGCCCCTTACAGCAGAAGCAGAGAAGCCCTAGCTCCCGGCCTTTCTAGGTTCCGACTCTTGAAAGAGTCTTGGGCCTGGCAGGCTGGACCCTTGGAGAAGCCCCTCTCACCCCTCCTGACCCCCTGAAGCCCCTTACAGCAGAAGCAGAGTCTGAGCTGACTCTGGGTGTTGAGATACTTTGGGGTAGGAAAGGGGAGGTGGGCTGGATTCTTGTTTTGGGGAACAGCCAGGGCTAGGGCTGGAGCCTGCACTCTCTTCTATTCCTTCCCCCACCCCCCATCCAAGGCATTTCCCTCCCAGAGCCCCAAACTCCCCATCACCCATGTCTACCCGATAGAACTAACCTGTGGGAATTTGAAGTGGGAGACTTTGGGTCCCAAGTGGGAGCTGGATCTCATCGCATCACCTGCTGTCTGGTGACCTGGGGCAACTGGGCCTCAGTTCTTTTATCTGTGGAATGGGGTGACCTTTACATACCCCTTTCCCTCCCCTCCAGTCTGCCTGTCTTGAGGACTCCATGGGGTCTTGTCTGTGAAAGGCACTTGTAAGTGGGGCTGATGACACTGGCCACATAGAGAGTGACAGCCTATGCTGAGCACCTGCTGCATACCAGGGTGTGCTCAGCACTGCATGTGAATTAGCATACTGCATGCTCATAACCCAGTGAGGCAGGCACTCTTCTGCTTGTTTTACAAATGAGTAAACTGAGGCATGAAGAAATTAAATAACTTACCCCAGGTCCCACATTTAGTAAGTGATGGAGCCAGGATTCAAATCCAGCAGTGCTACCTGCTCTAAACCTTCTGTCACCCAGTGGTTCTAGTCGGGGGCTGGGGAAGCAACCAGGGGTCCCCAGTGGTGGCTGTCAGGGAGGAAGAATGGGCTGCTCCACTGGTCCCTGAGTGGGTGGGAAGTGACCATCAGCCTGGTCCCCAGCTCCCTGTTGCCCACGTGGATGTCGCTCACCCATGAGCAAGTCTGTCATCTGTCTGGGCTTGTTCGGGCCACTGGCGTCAGGTGATGAGTGCTGTGCCCATCTCTACCCTCCTCAGGCCCAGCGCTGGCGCAGTGAGAACTTCGAGAGGCCTGTGGACCTTGAGGGCTCTGGGGACGACGACTCCTTTCCTGATGATGAACTGGATGACCTCTACTCGGGGTCAGGCTCGGGCTGTAAGTATCCCCCTCCTTCCCTGCCTGTCTGCAATGACCAGTCTGCATCAGCGCCCACCCCTGAGGAACCCAATCAGGCTCGCTTAAGCACGGCAGGGGAGTTACTGTGCAGAGGTCAGGCAGAGGTATGTCATGGACCCCAAGAACAGGAAGGGCAGACCATCCTCCCAGGGACGGAGCCAGGTCTGCAGGACCTCAGAGCCCATTATTCCCAGCGCCCCATGGTCTCATATCTGCATTTCTGTGTATACTGCTTGGGTCTCTGCAGACCTGTGGACTGTGCCCTCCAGCCTCTGTTGGGAAACATGCCGCTGAGTAGCGCAGGGCTCACATTATGATTCCAGCCACTTGGAGGAATTTAGCAGCCACCTCTCTGGCAGTGGCAAATTGTCAGCAGAGACAATTTGATTGGCCCAGCTTGGGTCAGCTGGCCCACTTGGGTCCAGTCAGCAGTAGCCAAGGTTGAGGTTTGGGCAGTGATGACAAAGGGCAGGTGTCTTGTGTGATGGGACATCTGGTTACTGGCCCTGCCCTGGGGAAGGCGAGTCCAGCCCTCGTGGGTCCAGCAGAGCGGTGTGAGATGAGGGAAGTCAGCCCAGCCTTGCTGCCCAACAGCTGTGTGACCTGGAGCACCTTCCCTCTCAGCCTCTGAGTTCTCATCCACAGATGGTGGTAAATATTCCTTCCTCAGGAGAGGTCGGATAGGAAGTCAGGTTCTGGCACAGAGAAGGAGCTTTAAAAATGGTAGCAAAAAGAGGGGGGCTGCAGTTGGGCCCAGCGAGGGGACAGGCAGGTGTCCGATGCAAGGGTGTGAGGTCTACATGCCACAGAAGTGGCTGTCCATAGCACCCAGCCTCTGGTCTCCCCTCTTTAGCCCACTTCTTTTAAGCCTCTTCCAAGTTAATCACTGTAAAAACCCATCTCTGCTGGGTTACATCTCTACTCCCGAGCTTCCCTGGCTCACACTCCTCCTCTGCCTGGCGCAGGCCCCCAGGATCTGGTGGTGGCTTCTCTCTCTCCCTGCCCTCTCCCCGCCCCCAGTCTCATTTCCTCCAGGTCCCTTCACTTGTCCCTGCTTTGAGTCAGCGAGGTGGCTGAAGGTTCTCCAGTAGGAAGAGCTTGTTCTCCCTCTTGCCCTCTGCCCGTGCCTCTGGGGGGAGCCCTTAGCTACTCACTGCCTTGGGCACGTGCTAGGGTGCACCTGGGTCTGACTCTTCCCAGAATATCCCTCCATTGCTCCCCTTCATCCCCCAGTGAGATTTGCAGCCAGGAGGGCCTTAGTTGCTGTCTGGATTCAACCTGATAGAAGCCCCTGGCTGGGTGGACTGGAACAGTCAGTGAAGGCTTCCTGGAAAAGGTGTTCCCAAGAGAATTTTTGTGAGGCAGAGGGGATGTGGGGAACATGAGCAACTGGTCCCCTTTGGCCAGGCTGCACCTTCCTCCTTTCCCTCATCTTTTCCTGAGAGAGTTGGGCAGAGAGAGGGGGTTGGGAGCCCCCAGTCCCGGGAGTTGCTTGCCTGGGATCCTCATGCCCCTCACAAGCAACCGGCTCCCTAGCTCTCTCCCTCTCCCCCACCCCCTCAGACTTCGAGCAGGAGTCGGGCATTGAGACAGCCATGCGGTTCAGCCCAGATGTGGCCCTGGCGGTGTCTACCACGCCTGCTGCGCTGCCCACCACGGACATCCAGCCTGTGGGCACCCCGTTTGAAGAGCTCCCCTCTGAGCGCCCTACCCTGGAGCCAGCCACCAGCCCCCTGGTGGTGACAGAGGTCCCGGAAGAGCCCAGCCAGAGAGCTACCACCATTTCCACTACCATGGCCACCACTGCTGCCACCACCACAGGGGCCCCAACTGTGGCCACAGTGGCCGCAACTGCCACCCCTAGCACCCCTGCAGTGCCCCCTTCCACGGCCACCACTGCTGTCATAAGGACCACCGGTATACAGAGGCTTCTGCCTCTTCCACTGACCACGGCAGCCACGGCCCGGGCCACCACCCCGGCAGCACCCTCACCTCCCACCACGGTGGCTGTCTTGGACACAGAGGCCCCAACACCCAGGTTGGTCAGCACAGCTACCTCCCGGCCGAGAGCCCTTCCCAGGCCAGCTACCACCCAGGAGCCTGACATTCCCCAGAGGAGCACCCTGCCCCTGGGGACCACTGCCCCTGGACCTACGGAAGTGGCTCAGGTGAGGGCTTTGGGAGGGGACAGGGAGTGAGAGCAGAGGAGGATGGGTCAGGGCCTGAGTGGGGAGGATGGAGTTGGGCAGGGGTGAGGACTGGGAGGTTTTAGATGAGCCAGATGGTGGGGGCGGGGAGGAGACGGGGCGGGGATGGGAGGGGGGGCAGAGGACCATGGCTGGGTGTGAGTCACAGGACAAGGACAAGGATCAGATGGATGGGGATGGGAGAGGGACAGAAAGCCAGGGGTGAGGTGGCTGCGTCTTAATGTTAGGACAGGAAGGAATTGGGTGAATGTGTGTGTTAGGGCTGGGGAGGGCCATGGGCCTGTGTGTTCTGGTTAAGGGCACAGACCCAGGAGCCAGTAGTGTGGGCTTGAATCCTTCTACTGCCACTTTTTAGCCACCTGACTTCAGGCCGGTCGCCGATCTCTTCTATACTTTCATTTCCTTATCTATGAAAAGGAGAAAATAATAGAATGCATATCACAAGGTTGTGAGAATTAAACTTTCTGACATATCCAAAGTGCTTAGAACGGTGGCTGGCAATGGTGAGTGAGCCCAGCGCTCAGTGTTGTGATGCCATCGTGGTTACTGTTATGGGTCTGGGGTGATGAAGAGCGCAGCTGTGCAGGAGCCTCACTCACACGCTGCACCGCCGGGGTGCCAGGCCCAGTGCCCAGCACTCCCCCTGAGCCGTCTCCTCCACGCCCCCCATCCCCCGCCCTGTGGGGCAGCGCTATGGTCATCTTGTTTTACAGGTGATGCAGCGGAGGCACAGGGAGGTGAGGCCACTTTCCTAGGGCTGTTCAGGATCTGAACCCGGGCAGCTGGCTCCAAGGCTGGGCAGTCTTCCAGGCTCAGGCAGCGTGTGTGTGTGTTTGGGATACAATGGATAGGGTGGGCGATTGCAAGGAAGAGGATAAAGATGTCAGGAATGCTGGGCATAGTGAGTGTCAGGGAAGTGGGAGAGGTGGTCTGGTCCCTGCTGGGTGCACTGGGCAAGGAGGTGGCAACACTGGAGTACCAATGCCCTTTGCAGGCGGCCTCACAGAGGAGGGCCCTCAGGCCATGGAACTGCCATCGGGTCAGTGTCAGCCCCTCAGACTCCCCAGCCAGCCCCAGCAGGCCCTTCTCTTGGCTCCTCTGAGCATCTGAGGCAGCCTGGTGCTTTCACAGAGACTCAGCCAAGCAGGAATGGGAAACAGTGACAGGCAGGAAGCCAAGAGTGGCTGGCACACAAAGCCCAGTCTGGTATAGCCACTGTGTACCCTGTGTAGCCTCTTCTTGGCCTGGACACCAAGCCCACTCTTTCCATGCCAACCTGGGAAGTAGCTACACCCCTGCCCTTGTGGCTCCCATAGCCCCCAGTTTAGTCTCATGATTCCTAGCTCTGGTCCTGCCTTGATGTGGTGAGAGCTATTGGGATTTGCAGTCACTGGGTTGGTTCCCTAGACACCTGCCCCCAAGGGCATCGCATTCAGTGGGCTGTGCTCTTAAGCTGACCTCCAGGCTAAGGAGCTCACCTCTGCTTTGGGCATGTGGACTGGGCACCAGGCTCAAGTACTTAACAGCTGCACCCAGCAGTCCCCAAATGGCTTCTCGACAGCAGCTGGAGGGGAAGTGATGGAGACAGGATGGGGACAGGATGTGGCCAAAGTGCAACCAGAGGCAGTGAAATAGAGTTGTTAGGAACACAGACCCTGGAGTTGGGTAGATCTGGATTTTAGTTCCACTTCTGCCACTTACTAGATGTATGTCCTTGAGCAAGTCACTTAACCTCTCTGAGCCTACTTCCTGCTCTGTAAGTTGGGGGTAATAATACCTCCTTCATGGGGTTGATGCCTGGCACATGGTGAGTGCTTAGTGTTAGTCGTGCTGGAACAGCGGAATGGTGGTGGTGGCCTTGTGTGTGTATGTGGCTGCCCTGTGGCAAGGGGTGCTGAGGCCTGACTCCTAGGCTCATGCCATCCTCTCTGCAGACCCCAACTCTGGAATCCTTCCTCACCACGATCGGGGATGAGCCAGAGGTGCCAGTGACTGGGGGGCCCAGTGGGGACTTCGAGCTGCCGGAAGAAGAGCCCACACAGCCAGACACAGCCAATGAGGTGGTGGCTGTGGGAGGGGCTGCGGCCAAGCCGTCACCTCCACCTGGGACACTGCCAAAGGGTGCCCGCCCAGGCCCCGGCCTCCTGGACAATGCCATCGACTCGGGCAGCTCAGCTGCTCAGCTGCCTCAGAAGAGTATCCTGGAGCGGAAGGAGGTGCTCGTAGGTGAGGCTTGGGGTCTGGACCAAAGGGAGGCCTGGGAGGAGCCCAGAGTGAGGTAGTTCATTGGGCCTCAGTTTCCCTTTAGGAACCCAGAATGGAGTCAGGGTGTGGTTTTCCTAGGAGCCAGATAGGAAGGGAAAGCCAGGGACTTGACCCCCAGGACCTGCCCTCAGGTTCCTCTCCTGACCTTCCCCCTTAACGAAGTCTGACTCTGACATCATCTCCATCTCTGGCACGTTCCTCAGTGCCCTCTGACCTCTTCTTGGCCTCTGACTTTGACCCCTGCTCTCCTGGGCCACGCTGGCTGGCTCCCCGGGGCCTCACTTCCTGGATGCTAATCTCTGACCCATCCATCGGCTTTACCTTCCCCACCGTTGACCCCAGCCCCTGTGGACCTGCCCTGGCCACATCTAGAGTCTCTGGACTCTTGGTCTGAATCCTGGTTCCCCACTTAGGAACAGTGTGGCCTCAGGCAAGGTACCTTACCTCTCCAGCTTTCCTTCTCTTCATCTGTGGATTGGGGACAGTCATTCTGTACCTAATCAATTCTAAAATGCACATCCGTTCATATGTTAACTCCTCTGTCATTTGGATGTGTCCTAGTTTAGTGGGCAGCGTTTTTTCTTTCCTAGTGGTTATGAAATATGGGAGCATCTTGTGACAGATGGCACTCACCTTTGACGAGGACCCTGGCACCTCCCTGCCAGGGCTGGTGTGAGGGTTCTGCGGGTTAGTGCACGTTAAGTGATCAGAGCAAGCCAGTGCTGGCAGCAGTAGCTGGTAGTGACTCCCACGCCAATCTCAGAGTTGGGACCCCCAGCCCTCGCCCCACACTGGCCCGGACCCTGACCCCAGGCCTTGACCTCTGCCCTCTTCCTCTGCAGCCGTGATTGTGGGCGGGGTGGTGGGCGCCCTCTTCGCCGCCTTCTTGGTCACACTGCTCATCTACCGCATGAAGAAGAAGGACGAGGGCAGCTACACGCTGGAGGAGCCCAAGCAGGCCAGTGTCACGTACCAGAAGCCTGACAAGCAGGAGGAGTTCTACGCCTAGCCGAGCCGTGAGCCATGTGTCTGCAGCCTCGGCACCGCCCTCCATCCAGTCCCCGGCCCGCCTCTCAGCCCAGGCCTGGGACTGGGCCTGGAAGGGAGCCTGGCCCTAGGTCTTCTCTGCCCTCCCTCCCGAGGCCTGCCAAGGCTGCCAGCCTCGCACAGATCCGCCCCGAGGAACAGGGGGTGCTGCCACCTGCCCCAGACTGTACCCTTATGAGCTCATCTGTCGTGCCCCCACCAGCCTGGGGCTTCAGGACCTCCTGCCAGCCGGACAGGAGGAAAGAGGCTCCCGACTGGCTGGGGGGAGAAGGGGTGGGGCTTGAGATGGGCCTGATCCCCAGCCTGGCCTCCACGGGGCTGGTCCAGGTCTCCTTTTTGGGGCAGAGAGGCACTCAAGCTCGTTTCCAGGACAGACATTTGGCAAACTCTGCCCTTGAAGTCATATAAACACTGCAGCCTCTCATTCCTGTCGCAGGGCCTCTCTCTGCCCGAGTGAGAGGGTGTTCCCTGCTTTGTCCTGGCCTTCCTGAGGTTTGGGATCATTCTCTCCTCCCCCCGCCCAGTGCACATGCGCCCTGGCCTCACTTCTTTCTGCGCCTTCCCCTGGGGAAATGGTTTCCTGAGGGTTCTGGGACAGCCACTGGTGAGGAGGGGCTGCTCTCATGTCCCTCCTCGAGGAGGTGCTGCACAGACACCATCTCCCACACTGTCACACATTTTGTCACACGGTCACACACAAAATCGTACACAATCCTGACCACCCAGCCAATCAAGACATATCACAGACACACATTCTTCCAGAGATGTTTATCCTCATGCGTTTCTTGTACACTCTCCAGACAGTGCAATGTAAGTCACTAGTCATGGTCACCCAGATGCTGACAGTGTGGCCTCTCCCTTGCCCCCATACACACACTCTGGTACCACACATGTCCCTAGCTTCAGGCTCACTGGGGAGGGTGGAACTGAGCTGGAACAATCAGCCCATATTGGGTCCCCCTGAGTTGCCCTGTCACACTCAGACCCCACCATGGCACCCACACCAACCACATTGCCACCAACTCCGGCCTATGTCAGACACAATCCCATGTGGATGCACACTCCATGTGACCCCGCTCTCATGCTGGGGGTGGGCCCTTGCCTTTCCTGGAATAAAATGTGGTGCCAGAAACCCAGAGCACTGCACACCAGGCGGGCCTGGCCTCACCCCTGCCTGCTTCTGTCCCCTCTGTAGACTGCAAAGGGGGACATTTAGGGCCAGTCCCTCACCACCTGGGAGCCTCAGGCCTTCCCCAAGGCTGAGGAGGGAAGGGTTTGGTTCCTGAAATTGGCCCCAGACTGTGGACGGTGCTTGGGTCTCCCAGGACCAAGGGTCCCGGGTGGGGAGGGGGCATGTGGTCTGGCTTCTGGTCCCCCTGTGTCCCCTTCCTGCTCTGAGCTAGGACACAAGTCTGCCTCCCAGGACACAAGTCTCCAAAGTGCCTGTGAGGGTGGGCCCTTCTGTACCTTCAGCCCCACCCCTCCCCACGGCCCACCCATGTAGTCCAATGGCCCCAGCTGGAAGCAGCCCATCAGGATGCCCCAGGCCCTGAGGGCCGAGGTTTGAGGGATTAGAGCAGGTGACAGGGTTCGGGAGGGGTGGGGGTCACAGGCCCCAGCTCGCCTTCCCCTTCTTTGTTACTCTCGGGGGCCATTTCTGTAGGTATTTTAAATGTGGGGTCACAGATCTGTTGGGGGGCCTGCTCACACCCTTGGCTGTGGTGTGAGTTGTGACTGGCTGGCACTCATACCCCCACCACCCAGAGTCAAGTCAGGAATATAGGTTTTATTTCTACTCCCTTTTCGAGATTCCCTGGCAGCAGATTTCTGCTGGGTGAGGGGTGGGGGTGCCTGAGGCAGTGAGGGGCAGGTTCCAGGGAGTTGTCCCACAGCCTGTCTTTTCGAGGGCTCCCACTTCCAGGCAGGGCTCCATCTCCAGACCCTAAAGACCCCCTTGCAGGGCCTGGAGGTTTGTGAGGAAGCCAGCTGGGCCCAGCCTTTGAGGAGGGGAGGGGTGGGGGAGGCACCTTGTGCCCATGAGACCTGTAAGAAGTGGCTCAGCCTCAGTAATTTCTAGAGCAGAGGGCTGGGGCAACGGGAATGTAGGAGACCAAGTCTCAGCCCCTTCTACCCAGCTCCCTTGGGGACAGCTGTTCTGGTGAGAAGGTTTGAGCAGGTTGAGGCCAAAAACCAGGGAGGATGTAGGAGAGAGATCTGGTCACCCTGGCCCCAGGGGACTCTGGCACTGAGGCTGGAGCCCAGCTGGGGGCAGCCCTGCAGGCCTGACTCCTGATATCTAAGGGCTGGCTTCTGACTTGGGGCTTGGGGTTTTGCCTGCCGGCACCAGCCTCTTTTCACGTTCTTAGCATTGGAGAGAAGAGGCTGAGGGCCTTGTGCCTGGAGTCCTGGACCCAGGCACACGTCCAGGCTCTTTCCTGACCAGCCCAAATCTGCTCTGGCCAGCCTGACTGGGGCAAGGCAATCCAAGAGACAGTTTGGTTAAAAGGACGAGCTGGAGCTCACCAAGGTGCAATGTGGGTGTAGGGCCCTCACCTATACCCCTCCTCACCCCTGGCACGTGGTCTGATGCGTGCAGGGCCTGCCCACTGGGTCTGCAGACACATCAGTGCCCCTAGGGAGAGTGCCCTGCAGGGCCCTGGCACTTCCTGGAAGCACAGAGAATCCAAATGAGAAGGAGCTTGTGTGGCTTGAGAGCCTCCTGGGCCTTGGCTCTCAGAGAACACGAGGCAGGCAGGGGCTAGAGTTGGGGGCTGGGCCCACCCCTCGGCTGTTACTTCTAAAGCCCAGGCTCTGTCTCTCCAGGGGGCCAGAAAGGCTGGTCCCCTTGATCACTGGAGGCATATGAGTGGCAACCAGGGCTGTACAGTGCAGGGCAGGACTGTGGGCAGGGGCTTGGGGTACTTGGGTCAGAGCCATCTGTCAGGCTTCCAGGCTGGAGCCCACGGGCACAGACCCACCTTGGCCTCTTGGAGCAGGAGTGGCCTTCTCAGCTCTCCTGGATTTCTTCTCCTGACAGCCACACCCTGGACTTGCCTCCCTGGGCCTGCCTGTAAATAGAAGCCCACAAACTGTGTACAGATTTACAGAGACATCAGGGCTCCGAGAGTCATCTGAGGGCTGATGGCCCAGTGTCCCCAGGTGCCCGCCTGGCCACAGTGTGGTGAATGCATGTACATATTTCTCGTAGGCAGTGTGGCTCCAGAGAGCCCCCTGAAGACAGTGTCCCTCCCTCCGGTGAGTCCTTTCTCCTGTACAGAGCCCTCCAAGAACCTGGCCTGGGGTGGGTGGGAGTCTGTCTGTCCCTCCGCCAGGTCTTCCCTGCCCTTTCTGCCCCCATAACCTGTTTATTAATTGTACCTGTCCTGAGTTCATGGCCAAAACTTTCAATAAGAAAAAGCAGAGGAAAAAGACAGTGGAAGAGAGGCCAAGGCGCCTGCCCCGCCGTGTGTCCTCTCCAGCCCCAGCCTTGTGAAGGAACTGGTTCTTTTGGTTTTTTGTTTTGTTTGGTTGTTTTTTTTTTTTTTAACATTTCCCGTGCTGTACCCATTTATAAGAGGAAATAAAATTAAGCTGAAAGGATGTACTGTGGCCAGAGTGTGAGATAAATACAGAGGTCATTGGGGGAGGGGCGACCCATGGTGCCACCTTGGGCCTTAGCCACTGTTGCCGTTAGAAGAATTGAGAGCCCAAGCAGGGAAAGTGACCAACAACCGGTTGTGGGAGCCATTATGGTAAAAGCTGCTGCTGGCTGAGAGTGTTTGGGAAACCACGGATTGGACTGTGGTAAGGCCAGGGCGGGGGCTGTGGTTGGGCAGGGCTGGGCGGTGTGAGTGGGTGGGGGCCTGTGGTTCACCCAGGGGAGGAACTCTAGTTTCAGGCCACAAAGAGAGTCTTTGGGCCACAGGATATGAGAATCAGACAGAGGTGGGATAGCTTTGGGGTCCGACAGGCCTGTGTTCAAGCCCAGGTGGTGACACTTCTTATCTGTCTCTGGACAAGCCACTGGGCCTCTCTCAGGCTCAGTTTTCTCACCTATAAAATGGGATACTAACATCCCCTAAATGCAATTGGCAAGGATGATGGGAGGAGGAACACTTCGCACCGTGCCTGGCAGGGTCAGCTTAGCTCATGGGGTCTTTGATGATGGAGTCTGAAGAGACTAGAACCATGGGATAGAGAGGGTTGATGGCCCAGAATCACAGGGTCATGGAGCTGGGAGGGCCTTTGAGCCAGCCCGGGACCTCTTCTTAGTGTAGGAATCCTTTTTAGAGCATCAGAGAGGGATTTCCCAGCCCCCACTTGGCATTTGTCTTCTGCCAGGGGCTTGGTGCATCCCAAGGGCCTGTGGGTCACTCTGTCTGTTGAGAATTCCTTCTTATTTTCAGCTGAAATCTGTTGTTCCAGTGTTTCCCTTCTCTGGGGCACATGGGGTGGTTCTGCCCCCCTGCCATGGCACAGCCTCTCGGCATGGTCCCTCCTCCAAGGGAAACCTCTCTATGGCCCAAAAATATTTCTTCTAGAAATTTCTTCCTCTTAAAATGTGATACTCACATAGGGTCCTGATGGAGGCTGAGGCCTGTGGATTTGGTACACTCTCCCACCTATCCGTCCCGCTCCCTTCCTCTTTGCCTCCCTCCTTCCGATAAAGTTTCTTGAGTGTCCACTCTGTGTCTGGCCCTGTGCTTGGAACTGGGAGACAAGAGTTCACCAGGACAGACCCAGCCCCTACCTTCAGTCTGTTGGGGAGATAGACAATAACTAGAGTCTCATGGTCTCGGGGGGTGGTCTTTCTTCCTCAGCCGCCACCCCCGAGCTCGTCTCTAGGAGGCCCCCTCACTGCTAGGCAGTTCAGGGACAACAGAGCCCTAGGCCTGGGACCTCATTGAGGGACCTCAGACAGCTTGTCTCTGGGAGCCTCAGCCCTGCAGAGCTATAAAATGGGGTGAAGAGGCCAGACCTGCCACAGGGAGATTCTGAGGGAGGCCTGGGTCACAGTTAGAAGCCAGCTGTGATGTGAGGGGTTGGCTCGCAAGATTCAAAGCAAGCACACGTGGCCATTCACCTGGAAGCCTTTGGAAGGCAATGCTCCCTTCCTCTGAGTTTCTTTGGCCATCTTCTCCCTCCTGCAGGGCTCCCATCACCGTCTCTTTTGAATTCCAGTGATGTGATTTATTCTCAGCTTAGAAGAGTCGATAGAGCAAGGTCTTGGAGTCCAGCAGACCCGGCTGTGTGTGTGGGGGCACATCCTTCTACCTCTCTGAGCCTCAGATTCCTCACATGCAAATAGGGACAATAAAGATGCTCTTTGGAGGCTCTTGTGAAGACTCATTGAAATAAGTGTTGGAAGCAGCATAAAGCTTGGCATTCATAGCC